CCCAAAAAATATACGTATTTTGGAAATGTTGAGTCGAATTAGTCTAGGAATCGATTAATTTTATGGAAGAAAACCTTTCAAACACCCGTAGTCCGTAAACTTCACACGTGTCGGGCTGTGATTGGCAAGGTCTCCTAAAACATTAATTTCATAAAAAACGGAACGTATCTATTGTGTTATAGGGGGGGTCGACTGTATTTTTTAAAAATTAAAATAAGTGTAATATAGGTACGCTATTCCGTCACAGTTGGTTGAATCATGTGTTGAGAGTTTGAGAGGAATAAATTAAATGTTGAGAATGACATGAGGTTGGCGTTAACAAAAACTCACCCGCGAATTTTAAGGCTGGTTAATAACATACAATTTCAACAATCGCATTAAATTATTAGACATAATTTAAAATAAAATTATACTAAAAAACTAATTTCGTTGTTTTTTTTAATTACCTTATTAAAAATGTCTTTTTCAATAGTATTGGGGTCGCGGGTCACTTGGCTTTTATAAAAAGGGGTCGCCACCCGAAAAAGGTTGGGAACCGTTGGTATAGATTATTGATAGATTTACAATTTTTTTTAAATAAAACTCATTTCTACCCTCAAAACTAAATTTTTCTTTGTCATTTTATAATAAACAATTATATAATAGTATATTATGCAATTAGTTTATAATATAGGCGATTAAGTTTGGTAAACGAGCAAAGCGAGTGGTCAATTTCCATGAATGCCATAATCGCTAATTATAAACGAATTGCCATACGATATTTTGTGGTTAAACAACAACTATAACACTATACTTATGGAAATCAAAATTATGTATAAACACAGTGTTTGTGTCAGCTGTGCCATAAATATTGTGTTTATACATGATTTTGAGTTCCATAAGTATAGTGTTATAGGTGTAGTCAACCACAAAAATATCAGTATTTAAAATAAAACATCATAACAAATGACGCCATATGCAATTTTAAATATTGGAGGGAAAGTTAAGCAGCTCGTTTCAGGATTTTTTAACGGGATTTTGCATATTGAACCAAATGAAAACCTAAGGATAAAAGTCGACTACGCCAAAACACTGGCCATGTTTCTGAGATGTGAAAAAGAACGAAGTAAGAAAACATTTGAACTCTAACAATAACAATATACACAAAATAAGTGCAACCATTAACTTGTAACAAAATAATCGACTTTCATGATAAGTTCGTCGACAGACAAGAAATGGACTTTTTATTCCTGTATTTGTAAGAAATGTCGGAATCGAATTTGAACTCTAATTCATTGGAAGAATTTCTCATTGTTCGGCTGTATAGTTAACATCATCAAAGACGTAGCAATTTATTAATATTAAACATGTCTCCAGGATATTATTTCATCCTTATTTCATTCTTATTATATCATCCTTTTCCTTTATTCATTCTGAAAGAAACGTCTTACGTAATAAACTATATAGTATAATACGTTAATTAATTATCTAGGATAAAATATATCAAATTAAAATATCTAGATCTGTATACATTACTTATAAGCTGTATATAATTTTAATTTTTTCGACAATGATAAGATGTTTAATTTCTAGAGCTAAACTTATCGAAATCATAAAAATGCAGCGCAACCACTAAAGTTAGGTTATCTCGTTGCGTTTTGGATGAACAAATGATTTCATAGCATGAATTATAAAATAGACAAAATACATAACTGTATAAATCGATGTGGGCAAAACAGCATTAAGATTACACAATGTATTATTAGTTATTTGAAAAATTGAATTCTTGTCACTTTCTTCTATCGCATAATTAAATATTTATGTAAAAGAACGAATACAGTAATAAATTGTGATAAAAAATCACGTGATTGATAAGTTACTGACGCTCGCGATTCAATTTTAGATATTCGATGATTGTTAGTTCATACACAATGTTTAATTAATTTAATATTTATTTAATAATTTTTCACACTATTCCATAAGTTTCCATTTGTCTTTATAAAAAGGAAGCTTAATTTATAGTTAATTTATCTTTAAACCTTATACGATCTGATTATGTGCAAAAAGTTTTAGACAGTTCAAAGTCACTTCAATTTTATAAACAGTGATTAAGAAACCTTGCTAAAGATCATTATGTACCACAGAAAGGGATGTATTAATCACATGACTGATATATATTAGTCCAGTTAAGTTGAAGTCCTTCAAGTTTGTTGCGGAATCTGCAAGAATTCTCTAATGTAAAATATATTATTACTGTTATACTTTCAAGTGCATACATATGATGAATTTTGACATCCTATACGTAAGTATGAATTTATTCATGTATCATTTACAAATATTAATTTTATAAAATAAAACTTTTTTGTTAAAGCTTCTTGTTTTATGAAACAAGAAGTTTAAATTGTTCCGAAATTTTTAAATAATAAACTCATCCTAAACGTTATAGAATGATTTAAAACAATTTCTATGACTACTCTAACCTTTGAATATAAAACTTCACGTCATAAATGTTATATATAGTTAATTATAAGTTTATTGCAATTCGAATGCAAATATCATACTTTATATTATTTTTTACAGAAAATAATTAACCAAAATTTGGAGTTTAAATGTCAATATGTCAATATAAAAATTTCATTTTTATTGTATTTTAATTTCACATTTATAGAATGTATTTATAAATGCAGAAATTCTGTTACGAAAAATATTTTTTATACATAAACATTTGGTAATTTGTTAAATTTAAGATACGCTATATAAACATTAAATTATATAAATTTTATTAATATATTTAATTAAAAATAATATACTAATATTATAATTTATAATTAAAATTTTAATATGTTGCATAATAACTGTACACACTACTTGGTTATAGAATATAGATAGCTTATTTTTAATATTTCTATTTAAATATATGTAAATTGTAATTGTTATTTAATTAAAGAAACTGTTTTGATTAAAATTTATTAAATTATTATGAGTAACTTATTTCTAGTGCACTAAATGAATTTATAAAGGAAAGTATTTAATAGATAAAGTTTTGATGTGGCAATATCTCAAATAAACAAGTTCCAAAATATTTAATAATAGTAAAAAAATCGCGAAATTAAATCAGTTAAGTTCTGTTATCTAAAATATTTCATAATATAAACTGTAGATGAGTTATCCTGTTCGGGATAATTTCCTGATTTATTTGCCACTTCCTGAGATATGGCCGTTTCAATAATGAACTGCATTCAATAGATAAAGAATACGTTTATGAATTTTTACTTTTATAGTGTTACTTCTGACGTAAAATTAAGAATAAGATCAAAATGGGAAATACAAAGTCGTATCAAGACAAGATAAATGTTGGAGAAGACGACGAAATGGTCAGTATTTTTCTTATTTTTCTTATAAACATGTAAATATTAAAATTATAAAATTTTTTACTAAGATTTAAAGAAAATGCTGCATTATATAATTTTTATGCAATTAAAACTGAATTAATATTTACATCTATATCTGAACTTAAATGAAAATTTTTATTTTTAAAATTTAATAATCTAAAACAATTATTACTTGAATATAATAACTGTATAATATATAAATGAGATCGATATACAACTATAAAAATGAGATTAAGATATATACGAAATTTGGAAAATAAAGTTAAATGGAAAATGGTTCATAAGCAATGTTAAATTACAGTTAGGATATATATTCTGAAAAAAGAAGAAATAGTTGTAACAGCATTTAATAGCATCCATGTCGAAGTTTTAGATCATCATTAAATCTACTTCTAAGGTCCAAAACATTTGGTTCCTTGAAATATATTTGATGATGATCTAAAGTAGTAGTTGTAACAAATTTTCTGCTGAACTAATTATCAAATTAACATTAAAAACCATGCTGAAATTTTTAACATTTTTGATACAATTTATCTTTAATTATTAATTTAATTGTTATATGATATTAGAAAAAATAATGGTTTATACTATATCTTATAAAATTTTATTTTTAAGTTTTTATTAGTTTAAAGTTTTTGAATTTATGCAATTATCAACACATAAACAGAAGATGGTAAACTTCTATATATCCTGTAATTTGTTTCAATTTATTGAACTAATGCTTTGAGTAATATAATAATTGAATTTGAATTATTTGATTATCAATGAACATTTCTATGTTTGATATACCGTAAGATAGAAAACCTTACTGTAATCTTTGCTTTAATCCATTATAAAATATATTTTTTATTTTAAATTTTACTATAAAACTATAAATATGTTAATGATAACTATTAGATTCTTCATGAATTTTAAGCTGTCTTACCGATCAGAACTATGTGAGAAAATTGTAAAATGAGATAATAAATGAAAAATTAGATTAAAAATGTTCAGAACATAGGAACAGTTAGTATTTCAATAAATAGCATAAACTGTAACAGTGATACATAAAAAAAAAACGGTAGACCTTTCTATTAACAAAAGAAAAATTTNGAAGTGAATATTTTGAAAAAGAATATCTGATAACATTTAATATATTTATACTGTTTTAATAAATATATTCTCCATTGCTTTGGGGCAATCTCTGCATGTATAAGAACAAGCCAAATTAAATAAAACTTTGCTAGAGAAATAATTAAACATTAAAATATTAAAACGAAGCTACTTCACGGAATATTAATTTTTGTTTACTATAAAAAAGTAATTAAAGTTTATTAAGCTTGCCTTGATCTATGATTATCAAAATCTGGGGCATGTAATAATAATAAATGTCCAGTAACACAAATAATTAAGATGCGATAATCATAAACTGACCTCTGACATCTGTGTAAATACATGTATAATATAATTTTATCATAGACTTCTGAATTATCTTATTTCTTAATAGCAATATTTTGAAATGCATAGTAGCATTATCTACACGTGTTTACACAACTTCTCAATTGACTTAACGTTATTCAGCTACTTAACAATCGAATAATTTATAAATTTTAAATTCACTTCATAAATTTATAAGTAAAATACTAACAGATCAAAATTTCATTTAATTTTGTTAACGTTTTATTAATGTATTTGTTTTTCTTATAAAATGAATTAACGAATAGTGACATATCCTGGAAGTTCTCTTCACTATTTAAATTAAGATTTATTATATTATTAAGTCTAAGTGAAGATTTATTTTCTTTCATATTAGTATTATAATATATTCATTATAACAAAAATGTATATTTGTTCTATTCTTTGACTGAAAACACGAAATTTATAGTGATAAGTATGCGTGTAGGATGTAAATATCCTTTCGTGATTGATAAGTCTTTCTCTAATCGTTTGAAAATATTAATCAGATATTCTTACAAGTATTATATAATTTTATTGCTCTTAGATTATTTATGATTTTTATTGTGAAATCATTTTATGTATAAATATATTCTAGAAAACCAGATTTTCATTTATAAGAACCTTTCTGTGAGATTGGTTTTAAAAAATTAAATAAGAAGCAATAAATTACGTAACCAACATTTTATTATTTGCTGAGGGAGTTTATTAAAAACGAACGTTTTCGATCCACTCAATAGAAATAAGAACCTTCGAACAATTTAATTTAATTATTTAAAACCAGAGGATGATGCATTTTTTGTTTAGTAATTATCTATTACTAAACAAAAAAATGCATCATCCTCTGATTCTGTGTTGTAAATTATAACTTATAGAAAATAATGAAAGTTTAGTCGTTGTGATTGAGGGAAGTTTCGCAATATTTTTAGTCAATTCGTTAAAATAAAATAAAACATCATCTTCAATTTCAATATTTTGCTTTAGTTATTTTAAATAAACAAAGTGAGATGATTCTTTTTCCAGTTAAATTCCGGTTTCTGAACGATCTTTTTTAAGAGAGAGACTGATTTGTTTCTCTTTTTGAAAATATTTCATAAAAACTTGAAAATTGTTATCTAAAATTGGGCTGAAGTTCTTTATCTGTTAAATACGTAAATACGCTGATAGTTCTCGGAAATGTCGGATATATTGCCATCATACACTTATACACAAGCTCTAACATACCTCGTATATACAAGGTATTATTATTACAACCACCCTACGAGAATCGATAGAACAATGCCAGTTAAATTCTTATTTTTGCTTTTGTATACGAGATACAACATTTGTTATATCTCTGCAATCTTAGAACTACTCCGAAATTGCAGTAAAGGTTATATTGCTAACTCTCGATATGAAGTAACTGGCAATTTCACAAGTTGCAACGTAATACGAAAGGAAACTTGTTTATTGGCACAAGTTTTGAGTGATGCGATGACTTGAAATAGTAGTGAATAATACGAGTAATATCGTTTGTGAAAAGCTATGTAAACGTATATTTATGGTTGAAGTAAAGACGATGTACCGTGCTTATCAAAATATTAGTTATAGTATGAAGATGAGTATCCTAGCAGACGTATGGATGGTTCACTGTTAAAATACTTATCTTCCACAAGACTGATCCGGATTCTCATTCCCGTCCGATGTAATTCGAGTTTATTTTTTTATTCGCCCAGTCGAATTCGTTTTGTCTGAGCCAAGTTATCGACGACAAGTGAAAAGTAGATTCCGCCGATCGCAAAGACACTTTCATGTATTTAATTGCGAATGTGATAAAATGAGTAGTGTGTCGAATTTTCGATATTGTAAACCAAACGAAAAGTACAAAACTTTTAAATGTAGTATTGCTAAACTTTAAACATTCTGATGGTGTCGGAATTTTCCATTATCGCTGTTCTTGGTACGCTTATAAGAAGAGGAGTGATGAAATATCTTATAGTCAAATTTATATCTTCAGTTCTGCTTCAGGTCGATGATTGACAGAGAGACAATATTTATTTGAACAGGAAATAACGGCATGAATGCTTTATTCTCTAAAAAAGCCAGCCGATGACGGTAATTGTATCGGTATTTTAAGAACGTTGTAATAGATTTTTGAGATCAGTTAGGCTCGTATCATCGTGGCACAATTGATTAGTGCGTTCGGCTGTTAACAAAGAGGTTGGTGGTTTGATTCCACGCGGTGGCATACTAGATAATCACTGCGAAAGATTTTTATAATTATTATTATTAGTAGTAGTAGTTTAAAATCGGAGATTCCTGTACAATGCACTTAGCACTCGCGCAGTACAGATTTCTGTAAAATCTATTTTTGGAAAAGTGAATTCACAAATCGAATTCAATGCTTTCGAGTTTCTTATTTATTAGGCTAATTTAATTCTACGATTAGGATACAGCGTACGCAAAACTAATTCGTAGAAAACATTTCTTCATCGTCATTATAGCAGTTCGAAAATTGAAACGCAGTCTATTTTATGTTTTTAGTTTCAGTTTGATAAGCAGAATAACGTTTGTTATTCTTCTTGTCAAACGGAAACTAAAAACATAATGAACATGTCTCAGTCGTTGGTAATGAACATGTCTGTCGTTTGATAGAAATTATTCAATCTTCGCATGTTACATTGAGTTAGTTAATTCGATGTACGACAATCATGGTGGTGATCAGAAGACCACTCGATATTTCTTCGTTGAATTTCTACGTAAAGATGAGCCAATGTCATCGAGATTGCTTTAGAGATAATAGTCAACACATCGACAATACATGCACTAAACAGTAAAAGTATGCTATATTCGATAAAACGAAATACTAGCGATTTGCATCGATCTGCATCACCTACGTGACAGGTAATTGTTCTACCATTGAATTATCGATGCCTACCACAACAATTGTCTCTTAATTAAACAGTTGACTATTATCTCTAAAGCAATCTCGATGACATTGGCTCATCTTTACGTAGAAATTCAACGAAGAAATATCGAGTAGTCTTCTGATCACCACCATGATTGTCGTACATCGAATTAACTAACTCAATGTAACATGCGAAGATTGAATAATTTCTATCAAACGACAAACATGTTCATTACCAACGACTGAGACATGTTCATTATGTTTTTAGTTTCCGTTTGACAAGAAGAATAACAAACGTTATTCTGCTTATCAAACTGAAACTAAAAACATAAAATAGACTGCGTTTCAATTTTCGAACTGCTATAATGACGATGGGAAATGTCGAACGCAGTAAATTAATTTGACTGATTGTTTGTGTTTTTTGGGTAACGCGAAAATGCTGCAATGCTGAATGGATCGTCTTAGTTGATTATTTGAATGTGAAATGATGTTGGAAGTAAGTCACTGATGATTTTAAGTCAAATTCCTTGTAGAGATGAGCATAGGTAGTTCAGCGGTTGAGTACAGTACTTGCTTCCCAAGCGAGTGAGTCAGGTTCAGCTTTTTAAATTGAAAAAAGTACTGAATGTAGATGCCTCAATGCAAACTTGACATTGAGTTTTTTCAGAAAATGTCTACAGAGAAAAACCACAAAGTAAATAATGTATTCTCGAACTTCCGTTTGGCTGTAATCGTGTTCAAAAACAGTATCACACTCTGGGGGGTCTGAATTAAGTGTCCAGCTTTTTCTTAGTGGTATTAATGTGAATGACTTTCACTGTGCTGCAATTTTTAAAATATTGTAGACCTATAAATTCCCACTGTCGTCCGTGTGTCTTTCCTTAATCTCGAGAACGAAGTTAGTAAGATGAAACATGAGATCAGATGTGGAAACCTTAGGGACAGGAGGCTCTAATTAACTATATACGAACGTCCAGTACAAACCGGAAGACACATTATTTCAATTCAAACTTTTCTCCTGAAAGCAGTTAATAGATGACCGGAACGACTCTATTGTTAAAGGAAAAGTGTGATGTACAGAGGCAAAACACTACAGTACTAATTTGAGGTGAAAAGCATATGTTTTAAATTAAATACAGTAAATTAAAAATATGATTAAAAATTGCAGTCCGGCGATGTAACGATGTCACAATAAATAATTGCTCGTTAATTCAGAGGTTTCTGTTGTCAAAGACTGGAGTGGAAATACTGTACATCAAATCCAAAACTGATTTTTGTTCATTAATTGCGCAATTTCTAAATGGGAGTGATTTCATCAAAAAGTAAATCATCAGCAATTGGTGCAGGTGTATAAATGAGCCGTTCACTTTCCAAATTGATTAACTCCATATAACAAAAAGGTGAAGAAAAGTGACAAAGTAATATACATTTATTAAAATTCCTTGTAAAATATAAATTGAAATAAACATTGTAGAATGTATTATAGTAGATGTATCTTTTATTTAACGACATATAAAATGTATAAGATAGCAAAGATATGCTGTAATCGTTATTATTACGATTTTGATGTGATTGACGGAGTTAATCGATTTGGAAAGTGAAAAACGTAGTAACGTCAAATTCAGTCTTCATATTAACGTACATTTTTTATTAAAAATTTTTCGCAAAAATGAATAATAACTGTTCTGTTACTTTGCATAACTGATCATTTTTAAAATTTTTTTATTAATCTATTTACGATGTGTTAAGATTTTTTTTTATTTCTTCAAGCTAATTGAATGTTACTTCTGAATTAGTCCGTGAAAATTGTGTAATAAAATTGTAAAATTAGTGTTCAAAGTCTCATGCACAATGACACAAGAAATTCTGTACATTTCCTAATATGATTTATTTTTCCATGTGCAATTAAGTCTATAAAATTTTCTATAGGATGCAGCTGAAAAACTTAAGAAAATAAATTTTTCGGTGGTGGACAAGAATTTCAGTTTACGTGAGGAAAATTTTCTTAAACATTTTATACGGAAAAAATTTACACATTTCTTATGGGAAATAATTGGGACTTTTGAATCAACTTCTAGTGAGGAAACTCCTTAACCATTCAATGTGCTTTTGTAAATTCATTTGTAAATTCTTAATTTTCAAAACTTGATTTTCGTTATATCAGTCGGTATCTATTTCATTTATTGAATACATTTGAATTCATTGAATACATTGAATTATCGAAGTACGGGGCACAGTGGTGTCCCGTACTTCGAACTTAATTCATTCCAGGTCATTCGAACACCGAATCAATTTTTTTCTATAAGAAATAATGGAAAGTTAATTAATCCATTCTCTGAACTATACCTATTTCGATAAACTTAAAACAGCAAATTCACATAATTTATGATAAAAATAACACAATTACATGCCTGAATAATATATTAAAACACGAAAGCCCCAAATAAAATACGTAAACACTGTATAATAAAATAAAAAATACATTTATTGATAGCGCATCACGGACTTGTGCATCTTCACCATCTCTATCTTCATTTTAGGTGTCCAGAATGTTATCAGATAAGTCCTATTTTCTTCTAATTTGATTAGCCAAAATCCATATTTTACTATAGTAAAGATTTTAGCCTTTGTAAGACGAGGTAATATTTCATCAATGTTAGGAAAACAGTAATGTGATCTCTGAAAAGCTTTATTTAGGTCACGAGGATCAACACATATTATCGATTTTACATTTTTTAAAATTGCTACAACCATATTGCTAATTTATTCTATAGGATAACTTTTGCTATAATGTTTTGCTTTTACAGCTTATCTATAGTTTTTATAACATCTTCTTTAAGACTCACTGAAACTCGTCTTGAGGGATACTTGTGGCACTGAAGAGTCGACTGATAGTTATATTCTTCTGAAAGAATTCCTATGCCTTCAGAAACTTTTTATAAAAATAAAAAGTTGATCTTTTGGTCAAAGGCTCAGTTATCATATTTTCCTCTTTTGTCGTGACAATATAAGCATTATTATTTAAAGTTAGCAAATGCATTGTTGATCAGGTCTCACAAGTGGGCATTGTTTACTGATAATGATAATCATCTTGTTTAGCCATGTTAAAAAACATGCCATATTTTCTTAATTCGTTTTCCACACCCGTTATTTCGGACACCCGTTTTCGAGACGTCAAAATCAGAAAAAGTTAGCATGCGAACGTAATGCCCGCGCTGTATTGAGAACACAGTCACAAAAACATAATGTATTTAAATAGTAATTAACGTATATTTCTAAAAACATCTTATTTTCATGTGTAGTGTTTCATGATGTCCATATCTATGTATTCGAATATATTCATTTATGACTCCATTATCAAGTATTATGCAGAGGATTTACGAACGAATATAAAATCACAGTTAAAATATCGTATGATCAATATTTTATAACCGAGATTTCACGTCGGTATGCACAATAGAGGTGCATAGTTTCGGGTCTGAACCTATCCGGATTCGGAACTACTAGGAACCGTTCCATATCGAGACAGACGCATTCTTTATTTTGTACTTTTAAGAATGCCTTTCACGAAAAAGTCAACTCTTTATTTGGATTTGAACTTAAACTAAATGAAAATTTTTCGCGAGATTTTACGAATAATGAAATTGGTTTAGAGTATTTTAAATTTATGAAAATATTTTAAAAAATGTTATTTTTATTAGGATTCATAATTCCTTGCTTTCATTAGTAACTAGGACTTCGCGCAGTTTTGTTGTATTGCGATCAAATTCAGGCGGAACCGGAAAGAAAGTAGCGATCCCTGTACCTGTTAGGCATAGAAGAGGGAATTCTTATACTTTAAGGTCGCGGAGAGGTGAACTTTGCTCTTGGTGTCACAAAAGAGGCTATTCTTGCACCTTCCGGCCATTGGAGACACGATCCTTGCCCTCTCCGTGTCGGAAAGTGTAAGGGTATCCGACCAGTGCAAGGAACAAAACACAAGAACAAATCAATCACCATCGATTGATTTGTTCTTGTGTTTTGTTCGTTTTTCACGCCTATTTTCCGTTAGGCGTACGCAATGCTGTTTTTATTTTTGACCCCTACCCCTAAATTATGTTAGGTGCGCTCAGTCTCATCAGAGAGCACAGGCATTGTCACTTTAATACCACTGTATTTCGAAAATGAAGTCATGGACTTTTATTTTTTACATTTAAATTAACTCATTATATTTTTGGGTTCTTCATCACAATTAATTAATGGGAAATGGCAAAGTTTAATCAAAATCGATCGAACAGATTTCAAGAAGGAACACAATTCTGTATGCTGCATAAAGAGGCTTCGCTAACGCTCGCTTCAACTAGAAGATATGACCGGCATTTTCCGGCCGAAATGTAAGAAAACTGAACGTTAAATGAAAACCATGTTGAAAGCTTAGATATTTTAGCCTACGATTGTTATGTTCATCAAGAATTTCAAGCAGATCGAATCAGAAGAGCGTGACGTAGCTAAGTTTCATGGTAGAATATATTTTCTTCAGTCCCAGAAAATAACTGTAGTATGAAAAATTTGGTTCGACGAAAAAGCTTAGAACAGAGAGACACAAACATTCTATTATATATAACCGTCAAGGAACCGTCTAGCCCAACAGACTAAGTAATTCCGACAGAACATAATGGTTCCGTAGAACTGTTGGGGGCAAGGCTGCCAAATTTACGAAAGAACATTATCGTACAGTCATCTTGATTCGTCACACTTACGTCCTATAGACTTATCCATATACGTACAGTATTAACTAGGTTTCCCTATGTCTGAATATCTTAAACTACGGCTGAATGGCCGAGCGGTCAAAGCGGCTGCCTATCACTCTGGGGGGGCCAGGTATCAAATCTGGACAGGGTTGAAAAATTCCCAGGAATTTTTCGGATCTAACGAGCCCGTTATCGCTCGTCTAATTAATGTACAGTATATACAATTCATCTTTGGACTAAATTAAGATGACTCGCTATTTTGTCGAAAAAAATGCCTAGGGGAAAGTGTAAAAGTAAAATTGGTTAGGTAACTTCTATTGATAGATCGAAAAGAATATGAACAATTGAGTCTTCTGAAGGCCATGAAGTCTGACTTTAGCAACATCGAGTAAGAATGGCTTTATCAAGGGCTGCAGAAATAGCATCACAACGTCGAGCTCGACTTTAAAGCTCTTCTCAATTCTTCAATCTACTTTCTCATAAAAATATTCTCTCATGCTTGACGGGAGAATTTCTAGTTAACAAATAATTATTAATTAATTAATAAATGTGTAACACGCTCATTTCTTTATAAAGCATACTTACTTCATAGGTATAAACCTTAGTTTTTCCAGTTTTGCGACCGTCTAAAATTTTTAATCTACCCCTCAAGTGCTTGCGACCTCTTAGTTTAAGAAACGCTGCCTATGTCAAAAAAAAAAAAAAAAAAAAAGCTCAGTTCAAGACAGCTCACCAGATTGAAACCACTCTCTAACAAAATGTATTAATTAATGTAAAACATATTTAAAGTAAAAAGATTGTATATTTAAAAATGTAAAAACTTTAAAAGTAAAAAGTAAAAAAGATCGAGAAAGATAATTTCTCGTAGTTGGTTTTTTGGAGAAGTTATTTAAAAAACCAACCACGAGAAATTATTTTTCTCAATCTTTTGCCGATTTTTGGGGAGACTTAATTAAAACCTACAGACCTACAATTATTTTTTAACGAGAAACAAAGTTCATTTATTATTGAAGGTAATATTAATTAATAAACTTTGTAACAAAGAAAGTTGAAGTCTGCAATTTTTAATCAAGTCTCAAAAATAAATAACTTTCTTAATCTTTTACCTATTTCCGGGGAGACTTAATTAAAACCTATAGATTTATAATTATCTTTTAACGAGAAACAAAATTTATTTATTATTGGAGGTAATATTAATTAAATAAACTTTGTAACAAAGAAAGTCTACAATTAGACTTAATTAAAAATTGTAGACTTCAACTTTCTTTGTTACAAAGTTTATTTAATTAATATTACTCCAATAATAAATAAACTTTGTTTCTCGTTAAAAGATAATTGTAGGTCTATAGGTTTTAATTAAGTCTCCCCGGAAATCGGTAAAAGATTAAGAAAGATATTTATTTTTGAGACTTGATTAAAAATTGCAGACTTCAACTTTCTTTGTTACAAAGTTTATTAATTAATATTACCTTCAATAATAAATGAACTTTGTTTCTCGTTAAAAGATAATTGTAGGTCTATAGCAACGGTTCCCAACCTAGTCCTATTTTCTTCTAATTTGATTAGCCAAAATCCATATTTTACTATAGTAAAGATTTTAGCCTTTGTAAGACGAGGTAATATTTCATCAATGTTAGGAAAACAGTAATGTGATCTCTGAAAAGCTTTATTTAGGTCACGAGGATCAACACATATTATCGATTTTACATTTTTTAAAATTGCTACAACCATATTGCTAATTTATTCTATAGGATAACTTTTGCTATAATGTTTTGCTTTTACAGCTTATCTATAGTTTTTATAACATCTTCTTTAAGACTCACTGAAACTCGTCTTGAGGGATACTTGTGGCACTGAAGAGTCGACTGATAGTTATATTCTTCTGAAAGAATTCCTATGCCTTCAGAAACTTTTTATAAAAATAAAAAGTTGATCTTTTGGTCAAAGGCTCAGTTATCATATTTTCCTCTTTTGTCGTGACAATATAAGCATTATTATTTAAAGTTAGCAAATGCATTGTTGATCAGGTCTCACAAGTGGGCATTGTTTACTGATAATGATAATCATCTTGTTTAGCCATGTTAAAAAACATGCCATATTTTCTTAATTCGTTTTCCACACCCGTTATTTCGGACACCCGTTTTCGAGACGTCAAAATCAGAAAAAGTTAGCATGCGAACGTAATGCCCGCGCTGTATTGAGAACACAGTCACAAAAACATAATGTATTTAAATAGTAATTAACGTATATTTCTAAAAACATCTTATTTTCATGTGTAGTGTTTCATGATGTCCATATCTATGTATTCGAATATATTCATTTATGACTCCATTATCAAGTATTATGCAGAGGATTTACGAACGAATATAAAATCACAGTTAAAATATCGTATGATCAATATTTTATAACCGAGATTTCACGTCGGTATGCACAATAGAGGTGCATAGTTTCGGGTCTGAACCTATCCGGATTCGGAACTACTAGGAACCGTTCCATATCGAGACAGACGCATTCTTTATTTTGTACTTTTAAGAATGCCTTTCACGAAAAAGTCAACTCTTTATTTGGATTTGAACTTAAACTAAATGAAAATTTTTCGCGAGATTTTACGAATAATGAAATTGGTTTAGAGTATTTTAAATTTATGAAAATATTTTAAAAAATGTTATTTTTATTAGGATTCATAATTCCTTGCTTTCATTAGTAACTAGGACTTCGCGCAGTTTTGTTGTATTGCGATCAAATTCAGGCGGAACCGGAAAGAAAGTAGCGATCCCTGTACCTGTTAGGCATAGAAGAGGGAATTCTTATACTTTAAGGTCGCGGAGAGGTGAACTTTGCTCTTGGTGTCACAAAAGAGGCTATTCTTGCACCTTCCGGCCATTGGAGACACGATCCTTGCCCTCTCCGTGTCGGAAAGTGTAAGGGTATCCGACCAGTGCAAGGAACAAAACACAAGAACAAATCAATCACCATCGATTGATTTGTTCTTGTGTTTTGTTCGTTTTTCACGCCTATTTTCCGTTAGGCGTACGCAATGCTGTTTTTATTTTTGACCCCTACCCCTAAATTATGTTAGGTGCGCTCAGTCTCATCAGAGAGCACAGGCATTGTCACTTTAATACCACTGTATTTCGAAAATGAAGTCATGGACTTTTATTTTTTACATTTAAATTAACTCATTATATTTTTGGGTTCTTCATCACAATTAATTAATGGGAAATGGCAAAGTTTAATCAAAATCGATCGAACAGATTTCAAGAAGGAACACAATTCTGTATGCTGCATAAAGAGGCTTCGCTAACGCTCGCTTCAACTAGAAGATATGACCGGCATTTTCCGGCCGAAATGTAAGAAAACTGAACGTTAAATGAAAACCATGTTGAAAGCTTAGATATTTTAGCCTACGATTGTTATGTTCATCAAGAATTTCAAGCAGATCGAATCAGAAGAGCGTGACGTAGCTAAGTTTCATGGTAGAATATATTTTCTTCAGTCCCAGAAAATAACTGTAGTATGAAAAATTTGGTTCGACGAAAAAGCTTAGAACAGAGAGACACAAACATTCTATTATATATAACCGTCAAGGAACCGTCTAGCCCAACAGACTAAGTAATTCCGACAGAACATAATGGTTCCGTAGAACTGTTGGGGGCAAGGCTGCCAAATTTACGAAAGAACATTATCGTACAGTCATCTTGATTCGTCACACTTACGTCCTATAGACTTATCCATATACGTACAGTATTAACTAGGTTTCCCTATGTCTGAATATCTTATACTACGGCTGAATGGCCGAGCGGTCAAAGCGGCTGCCTATCACTCTGGGGGGGCCAGGTATCAAATCTGGACAGGGTTGAAAAATTCCCAGGAATTTTTCGGATCTAACGAGCCCGTTATCGCTCGTCTAATTAATGTACAGTATATACAATTCATCTTTGGACTAAATTAAGATGACTCGCTATTTTGTCGAAAAAAATGCCTAGGGGAAAGTGTAAAAGTAAAATTGGTTAGGTAACTTCTATTGATAGATCGAAAAGAATATGAACAATTGAGTCTTCTGAAGGCCATGAAGTCTGACTTTAGCAACATCGAGTAAGAATGGCTTTATCAAGGGCTGCAGAAATAGCATCACAACGTCGAGCTCGACTTTAAAGCTCTTCTCAATTCTTCAATCTACTTTCTCATAAAAATATTCTCTCATGCTTGACGGGAGAATTTCTAGTTAACAAATAATTATTAATTAATTAATAAATGTGTAACACGCTCATTTCTTTATAAAGCATACTTACTTCATAGGTATAAACCTTAGTTTTTCCAGTTTTGCGACCGTCTAAAATTTTTAATCTACCCCTCAAGTGCTTGCGACCTCTTAGTTTAAGAAACGCTGCCTATGTCAAAAAAAAAAAAAAAAAAANTGTACTCTACTGTTTTGTCAATAAAACTTGTCATAAATACTGTATTCTGCTGTTTCATTCAGCATACCGACCTCATAGAACGTGCAAAGTGCAGTAGAAACTTTATACGTTCCTCATTTCCGGCTGTAGGTTCCTTATATCAAAACGTTCAAAATTTATCCTCTACAATCCCCAAATTTTTAAAACGTCATTCTGATACACCCTGTGTATGTATATACATATATTACAAACTTATTACATTAGTAAAAGTGCATAGTTGCAAAATAATTCATTTTTATTGTTTGGGCTACAAACAGTTCAAATCCGCTACTTTTGGGGCACAACCACGCTACTTTTTAACCTTCAGATCCGGCAACGATGGCTGGCGTTTGAGTCGCACTACCGCGAGAAGTTGATTTATCTATTTGGTTAGTAGGTACAGTAGTTTTAATGTTTTCAAGCATTTTTGTAAATTTTTTCCATGTTGTGTAAAAAAATCTTATTCGTAATAACCTTTTTTAATTTTATATCATGTATAAAGAAAGAAAAAGTATATTTGGTTTATGAAAAATTAGTAAGATAATAATTTGAAATAACAGATGAAGATGTGGATAAATCGAAAATAATTATATTTTCGATTTAATTTATCCAAGTTTTAAATAAAGATCTGTTTAAAACTGTTATATTGCTACACATTGTGAATGAAAGTTTTGTACACAATTTTCTGAGTATAAAATATCTGTTCAATGCATAGGTAATGGTAAAATAAGTAAATAAATTTCCATTTTTCTGTTTTATTTTATTACATGTATATGACAATATAATTACGAAAACCATAGCTTATCTCCGATACATTTAAATAGCCACAGAAATTTAATCCACATAAAGACAATCTATTTTTTTAAAATAATTTATTAACTCTAACACTACATAAAGTGTGCTATACAATTTTACTTGATTCAGTATAGTGAGAAATAGTATTTGAGATGAAATAGTTTTGTATTTTTGACATGAGAAATTACATTTCTTATGACACTCACATTGGCTCTACATAGTTTGGTAATGTATATAATATTCTGCACTATCAAAAGTAGAATATGAATGAAGATTTATTGATGGCCTACTACACCTGTCCTTTATTTATATAGGTTTTATATACGTAGTACGATCCAAAAGTTCGGGGACTTGGCTTAAAATTCCTTACCTTAAAAAGTTTATATTGCCGATGCATAACCACCTTTAAAGTAATCACCTTGGGCAACGATATACTTTTGCCAGCGCTCGTATAACTTCTGGAAGCATTGCTGGAAGCCAATTTTTGAAACCTCCCGTAAGGCCTCCTGCGATGTTGCTCTCACCTCATCTGATGACACAAAACAGCTTCCCTGCAAATGCTTTTTCATTGATGGAAACAAATAAAAATCACACGGGGCTAAGTCCGGTGAATAGGCGGGGTGTGGAAGCATATTAATTTGAGTTGTCATGCGGAGGTACCAGTCTCCACTTTGCCAGATCTGTGGCCATTTACGACGAATGAATTCCCTCAAACGGCATAAAATGTCTAGATAATGCTCCTTGTTTACTGTTCTGCCTTCGGGAATAAATTCTAAATGAACAATTCCTTGAGAAACAAAAAACACCTCCATCGTGACTTTTCCTTTGCTCGGTGCATGTTAAGATTTTACGCTGGTAACTAGTTTTTGATAAGTGAGTAGCCGCTGCAATTTTTTCAAGGGTTTGGCGACGATCTTTGCGAACACATTGAGAGACCAACTTAACATTTTCCT